CAGACAACTGGTGTGGTTGTAGACATCTTGCGAAACGCTGCTCTGTCGATTAGGTGTCACGTGGTCTTGTCTTCAAGGCAACTGGCTGCAACGCCTTAACCACTTGCCACGCCTCACTGTCACATCGATCGTGATCCTGCCGTGCCAACACCTACTCGCTTTCTTCATCCCTCAGTCTCGTTCCAGTCTGTGTTCTCTAGCGGTTAAGGCTGTAGCAGTGTCCAATGACGCACGTGCAGTTTCCATGCGTGGAGGTTCCAGGCGATTGCAGGGCACTGCGATTATTGATGCGGTGATTGTTTACAACTCACGACTTATATGATGACTTTCAATTTCAAAAATTGCCTGCTTTGCGTTTTGCTCGATGCATTGGTAGAAAATTCCGTGACATGTCGATCAGTGCTGTCCTCAACTCCTCCTCTTGCGTTGTGCGCATGGCAGTTAGTGAGTGAACATCGTTAGCAGGCATGAGCGAACACGAAATCATGCAATCTACTCGAATGCTCTTCAAGTAGCTGTGTTCGTCATCAGGATCGAATTTTAGCCCTCGTTTATAAACTGACTGCTTACTCTTCTCCTGCTCTTCGTCATGCCCAGTCATTGTAGATCGATTAGCCCTAATGCGTATTCTTCAAAGTACACTAGCACTTGCTACATATGCTTTCGCAGTTAATCAACGAGCCGTAAGGGAAGTGGAAAAGCAACTTGAAGCAGACGTGAAGCTTCGTCCGGAATGGGAACTTCAGGGTTTCCTGGAATAAGTCACCGCTACTCACCAGAGCCTACCAGAATGCATTCAGTCATGTGGGAGTGCCTGCGTTAATCCTCATGACAGTCTGCTGCATGCAGCTGTCTGCTACTACTATTATTAGTGATATGATTATTGTCTCCATGAATGCGTCCAGCCGCATGTTCTTCAACCTATGCATCCGACCGTCTAACAGGAGTTCGAGCAATCGATTCCTGGATTCAAACCATCAGCAGCTGCTGCTTCTCTGTCACCTGGCTGCATCCTCCAAGCATATCCCTCTTCTCAGGCCAAGCAGGAGATCGTTACAACACGCCACTGGTTTGTTTGCTCAACAACCACTTCCGATCACGTCAACGACGAGCCCACAACAGCAACGGCAGCAAAAAATGGCTGTTGCAGCTGCTGCACATCTGTTTCTATAACAACAACAACAACAGCATCAGACCTATCAGCAATATATCTAGCAGCATTCCGGTGCTTCTGCTGCCTCGCAATAGGAACACGATGTCACCTTGATGTGCTACCCTTCCGCTATCGATGCACTTGTGCTCATTTTCACTATCGGCATTTGAGCCTGCACCTCCAATTGGATGACACTTTGACACTGTTGTTGTTCTCATTCGATGACACCTGGGAGCCATAAGGAGTTGGCTCGCGTCCTCCTCAGCCACCGACGCAAGCACATTTGCACAGGACTCGCCCATGGTCCGATCTCTGCAGAATCTCATTAAGTCGGCACAACTGGCCAGGACTGCGTCGTCATCGAACTCTGGTTCCAGTGGCGAAAGTGCTGGTGTGCGCTTGATTGCAACGCTAGTTCAATCCCCGCTAACGCATTACGGACCAACCAGATGGGCTGATCTGCCCGGAGGCCTCCAAGCTATGGAGCATCTGAAGGACGCGCACATGATTACTCTGAGGCACCTTCTTTCCTGTGAACAGAGCTCGTGGGTTGCCAGAGAAGTGAGTGGAGTAAATGCACGCATGTACTTACATCAGTGTTTGTTGGCAACTGATGATGGCGTGTTGATATGTCAATGACTTCGATTATGTTCTTGTCTACTGTAGGTGACATGCTAGTGGATTCAGCTGCCCCGTGATGACCTTGAGCCTTCAAGTGCAAACATCCAACCGGCATCGTATGTGTCGCGAGTTGGACACCTATCCACGTTGACAA